TCCCAGTCTTTATTCAAGCCTAATTTGATGGTGTCCATTTTGCAAATTAATTCCAGTTCGGCAGTTTCTCGTTGGAGTCTGTTTGAATTTTTGTTGTTGAAGAATTGCCACTTTTAAGTCTGTTGTTGAGAGTCCAGGGAGAGCAAAGTGTTCTCCGATTTGTTTTTGGATGTTATAGTTCTTGATGTCTGATTTGTGTCCATTTATTTGTTAAACTGTGCTTCTGATTCCCCCCACTGGTTATCAAGAAGCAAAAAAGAAATCACACTGCCCCCTTTATTGCATTTCTATTTTCTGGCTCCCAGTCAGCACTTAGGTCCAGTACTCTGAGAAGTTATTTAGGGGGAAAAAAAACAAAAACAAAACTGCTCACATGTACAAAATGTTTTTCTGACCCCAAAGGGTCAGCCACATTACCAGATCAGTATAGGTGTGGATCTTACCCAAAATACTACACTGCCAGTCAATCCTTTATTATAAACCTTTAGTTTTAGGCACTAAAGTGGGGGGAGGGGGGGAGGGAAGAACACTTGTTGCCAGGGGATGTTGTGAAGCCAAAACTATAATGGGGTTCAAAAGAGAATTAGATAACACCATGGAGGATAGGTCCACCAATGGCTATTAGCCAAGATGGTCATGGAAAGTAACCCCACTGTTGGAAGACAGGATGCTGGGCTTGATGGTCTAAGTATGGCCGTTCTTATAATTCTCCCCCTCCTAAATCTCATCTCACTTCTGAAATATTTCTCTTTACTGCTCCCTTCTTTTCATCTTATTTTTTTGGTCATCTTTCATGACTGAAAGTCTCCATGTTTGCTTCTGCCAAATACTTCTTATCCTTCGAATTTCTCTTTAAAATTCACATCTTCAATCAATCCTTGCTTTTCATCTTCAGTTATCCCCAGATGACTGACTTTTCTTGTGCTTTTATTCTTGTCAGTCTTAAATTGTAAGACTTAGTTTTATTTTATTTGTAAAGAATCATGAAAATGTGTGGTGCTGCAATATGAATGACTTCATTTGTTTTGGGCAGGTTAGAAATACAAAAATTGCTTTCTACAATAATAGGTTTTATCCGGGATTGGAAGTAGTGCAGAGGCAAGTGAACATTTTCTAAAGCAAGTGAACATTTTCTAAAATGCAACTCATTTGAACTATAGTTCTGGATGAGTTATTTTATCTGAGTCAATTCTTTTGTACCTAATGCACATTATGTTAAAGTTGAACAGACTAGATTACAATTCCTAAAAGCTCCCTGTTTTGCTGATATGCAGAGAATTTTATTTTAATCTCTTGTCATTCTAGGTTATGCAGGAGTAGTAAAATATCGTGGTGTAAGAATTGGTGGAATTTCTGGCATTTTCAAATCTCATGATTATAAAAAAGGTAATATTTTTTGTAACTTTGACTTTTTATTAACATATACATTCAGAAACATCTTGCAATTAAGATTCCATACTCTTTTTATTAGGTGTTTTATTTATAGTGTGTGTGTTGGAGAATTTACAGGTTCTCCAAAGTTGCCTGTGAACAGATTTCCACTGTTGAGTCCATATGTCTATGCGCAGACATGGCACCAACTCTTCAAGCTGAAAACAGTCATTGACACCAGAAAAAGAGCTCCCCGTGGATGTACAAGTCTTTGTAGCAATCATCCTAACGTTTCTTTGGCAGCATTCTTTAGTTAATAGTGTCAGTCTGTTTCTTTTACCTATAAAATTGATTATGTAAGTTGGCATTTATATAGAAATATCAAGAGACTCAACTTGAATTTCAGAGCTGCAAAGTCTCAAGGCTTTATTCCCCCACTTATGCTCTGAACACCACAAGCCAGGCTCACCCCTTGCAATTTGATTCCCCTTTCTCCCTCTAAGAACCCAGTCTCTTGTGTGACCTGTTTTTCTTGGTATGTTTCAGGTCATTTTGAGTGTCCTCCATACAATCAGCAGACCGTAAGAAGTGCGTACCATGTGAGGAATATTGAAGTCTTCAAACTCAAACAGGTGGGGAGTAAAGCTTTTTTTTGAAGAGGGTAGATAATTTTGCATGAGATTAGACTAATCTAGAGATGAGCATGTTGATCTGAATTTACATTATCTGTTTCTATTGACACAATCAAAGTTTGCTTCTGCTATTCACAATAGAAGGTAATTCTACAGGCCTTGTCACTAATCTCTGCATTGTCGCAAGACTGCCTTCTTCAGTTGATAAAGAAACACATCACGCAGGTGTCCCTCACAGGGTGATGCAAATCCTTAATTACATCCTCTGCAATATCAGCAAATATTCAAGGGGACTTATGTGCACGGATTAAGAGTGTAGTGTGTTGTGTATTGGGAAAGCTGGAGGCTGTAGCTAACGTTTTGTTTTAGTGTCTGAGAGAGACCAGTGGGTTTCAGTTGGAAGCCGAGGAAGTGCTATATCTGTAGTGGTGCAGAGCCTGGCACTGTTAGCAGAGATGTACTGTGTTGGGATTGAGGTATAATTAAAAGATGTGGCATAGGGTGGCCCTTTGTGTGGGAGGAGGGGACTGCTACTTATTCAGACTTAATTCCTTGCAAACTAAACTTCTAATGGAATTTCCTGAGTATTTAATTCAGTAAGTATGTTTTGGGGAGAAGGCCTGGAAGGGGGAGCAGGGATACCTGCCTCAGCTTCCCTGTGGTGTGTGAGGATATGGCATGAGCAAAGATGTCTCTGGGTGGGTGGAAGGAGGGCCTTCATGGGTCACTTTAGTCTCTCTCACTCCAGCACAATGGTACCTGTATTCTTGGGGAGGGTGACCTCTCAAGTGCCATATCTGCTCTTCCAGGCTGCCATGGCTCATCAAATGGGAGGAGCCTCTGTTAAAGCTACAGAGCTTCAGTAGATCTCAGGTGAGATCTCAGGACTGGAGCTTGTAGCTCCTCTCCCCTGCAAACCCTTGACGTTTCTTCCTGACTAAGATAAGGTTTCAGTTTCCTGTCCATAGAGCATAGGGAGCAGTCAACTTCCCTGAAGGAAATTCAGAGTTAAGGTGACACTTCCCATGTAATCTTAACTCTCTTCCTTTGATCTCTACCCTAAGGAGTCACTGAATGGGATCGCAGTACTGTCCCTCCCTTAGCCTTTTTGTGAAGTGGGATCTCTGCAAACCAGCAGCGAATACTCCCAGAACAGTCACGCTGCATGGAGTACAATGAGTTTGTTGGACTGTGTGAATAAAAATGTTGCACTGGAGTTGTGCTGGGTACAGAGAATGGCATTCTTGGTTAGGGGAGGTAAGGTACTGTCGTTCTCAATTCCTACTGCCATCCCTTCAGAGACAGTTAAGGTGGTCTGGGAAGTGTCACTATAACTTTGCATTTCATGATTTTCCAGCAGTAGGAGAGGTCCCCGTCACTCCCCAAAAGACCGATCTCTGACTCCTGGAAGATAAAAGGAATACTTTTCCTTTGTTCCCATTCAGAGACTGCTGGTGGCTCTGATGGGTGAGAATGGTCCCTCCTAACCTAGGAATCTGGTAGCACCTTAAAGACTTTAACAGAATTATTTGGGCGTAAGTTTTGTGGGTAAAAAACCCCACTTCTTCAGATGCATGCCTTCATGCATCTGAAGAAGTGGGGTTTTTTACCCATGAAACTTATGCCCAAATAAATCTGTTAGTCTTTAAGGTGCCACTGGACTCCTCCTTGTTTTTGTGGGTACAGACTAACACGGCTTCCCCTCTGATACTTGGCCTTCTAACCTAATCCTCCTAGAGCCACTCAGAGGCCTGGTCTACATTTAAAACTTATACCAGCATGGCTATGTTGATCAGAGCTGTTTTTTAAAAAAAAAAAGCAAAACGAAAACACAATCCTAGCTATATAGCTATGCTGACAAAAGCTCCAGTGTAGACAGTTATGCAGACAGAAGAGGGCTTCTGTTGGCATAGTTAATGTCCTAGGAGGTCATGTTACTATACTGACAGAACTCTTCCTTTCAGCACTAGGGGACTATACCAACGTAGTTGTGCCAACATAGGGTCTGTAGCGTAGATGTAGCCAGAGTGAATGAGTGACTGCTTCTGCTGCAGCTCAGAACTTTCCCAAGTTGCAGAAGAATGAAACTGACCTACTTCAGTTTCACTGTTGCACTATGAAAATCTCTGAACATGGTGCTAGAAAAATCACAAGCTTGGAGATGGAAAAATTATGATGTAGTTTTAAAAGAGCTATTGAAGTGCCTGTAGGCAGGGGATAGCTAAAATACTTCAAGAAAATAGCATAAATGGTGATTGAGAGTAACACAGGGAATCTCACCCATGCTTAAGTAGCTTGCCAGCTCAGAGAAGATAATGTATGCCAATAGAATACAACTAACTTATAGTTGTAATAACGATAATTCAAGCATAGTGATACTTTCTTCCAACGTTTTCTATTGTGTGAATTTGCTTTGTAAATAGCACTTATTATATGGCTATAATTTTAGAAATTCTTATGTCCATATAACTGCTTGACATTTGCCTCTGAGGGGAGATATCAAAACGATACTGTGCGCTAAATGCTGGCTTACCTGTCCCAAGGAAAGCAAGAAAGTGGCACACAAACCATAGAGTTTAGAGAATGCAAGATCAAACTCAGTGGCACTCTGGAAGATTGCATCCAGTGGTATAACCTCAGTGTTTAGAAAGTCAGACTGTCAGTCAAAATCTGCTCTGGTCAGACAAAAAGAATCAAGTATGCTCCCCCTTCATTAGTATTCATTTAAGTGCTGTTCTTTTCCTATGTTTACTTTTTGCTTTATAGCTAAAGCATCCTATGGATATATTTATGTCACATGATTGGCCAAGAAGTATATATCACTATGGAAACAAGAAACAGCTTCTTAAAATGAAATCTTTCTTCCGCCAAGAAGTGGAAAACAATACATTGGGAAGCCCTGCTGCTTCAGAGCTTCTTCAGCACTTTCAACCCACATATTGGTTCTCAGCACATCTTCATGTAAAATTTGCAGCTTTAATGCAACACCAGGTAACAAATAAATAAAAGCATGTTGTGTCTATCTCAGGTTTCTAATGCCAGTAGCCAGATCCACACAAGCATTTTTCTCTTGTAAAAACTTATTTGCTTTTCCTTTTATAAATGTATTTTCATATAGTTCATGGAAAGTACTCCTACCTATATTAAGTAACTATTAATTCACCCTAATAATCAAAGGCATAGCCTAAGCTAAAGAGTCTTAACTCATGAAGACAGTGAATGCTATAACTTATTCTGTTTATAAGGGTATGTCTACACTACGGAATAAGGTTGAATTTATAGAAGTCGTTTTTTTAGAAATCGGTTTTATATATTCGAGTGTGTGTCTGTCCCCACAGAAAATGCTCTAAGTGCATTAAGTGCATTAACTCGGCAGAGTGCTTCCACAGTACCGAGGCTAGAGTTGACTTCCGGAGCGTTGCACTGTGGATAGCTATCCCACAGTTCCCGCAGTCTCCGCTGCCTATTGGAATTCTGGGTTGAGATCCCAATGCCTGATGGGGCTAAAACATTGTTGCGGGTGGTTCTGGGTACGTATCGTAAGGCTCCCCTTTCCTCCCTCCCTCCGTGAAAGCAAGGGCAGACAATCGTTTCGCGCCTTTTTTCCTGAGTTACCTGTGCAGACGCCATACCACGGCAAGCATGGAGCCCGCTCAGGTAACCGTCACCGTATGTGTCCTGGGCGCTGGCAGATGCGGTACGGCATTGCTACACAGTAGCAGCAACCCATTGCCTTCTGGCAGCAGACGGTGCAGTACGACTGGTAGCCGTCCTCGTCGTGTCCGAGGTGCTCCTGGCCACGTCGGCTGGGAGCGCCTGGGCAGACATGGGCGCAGGGACTAAATTTGGAGTGACTTGACCAGGTCATTCTCTTTAGTCCTGCAGTCAGTCCTATTGAACCATCTTATGGGGAGCAGGCAGGCGATACGGATTGCTAGCAGTCGTACTGTACCGTCTTCTGCCAGGCAGGCAAGAGATGAGGATGGCTAGCAGTCGTACTGTATCATCTTCTGCCAAGCAGCCATGAGATGTGGATGGCATGCAGTCCTTCTGCACCGTCTGCTGCCAGCCAAAGATGTAAAAGATAGATGGAGTGGATCAAAACAAGAAATAGATCAGATTTGTTTTGTACTCATTTGCCTCCTCCCCCGTCTAGGGGACTCATTCCTCTAGGTCACGCTGCAGTCACTCACAGAGAAGGTGCAGCGAGGTAAATCTAGCCATGTATCAATCAGAGGCCAGGCTAACCTCCTTATTCCAATAAGAACAATAACTTAGGTGCACCATTTCTTATTGGAACCCTCCGTGAAGTCCTGCCTGAAATACTCCTTGATGTAAAGCCACCCCCTTTGTTGATTTTAGCTCCCTGAAGCCAACCCTGTAAGCCATGTCGTCAGTCGCCCCTCCATCTGTCAGAGCAACGGCAGACAATCGTTCCGCGCCTTTTTTCTGTGCGGACGCCATACTAAGGCAAGCATGGAGGCCGCTCAGCTCACTTTGGCAATTAGGAGCACATTAAACACCACAAGCATTATCCAGCAGTATATGCAGCACCAGAACCTGGCAAAGTGATACTGGGCGAGGAGGCGACGTCAGCGCGGTCCCGTGAGTGATCAGGACATGGACACAGATTTCTCTGAAAGCATGGGCCCTGCCAATGCATGCATCATGGTGCTAATGGGGCAGGTTCATGCTGTGGAACGCCGATTCTGGGCTCGGGAAACAAGCACAGACTGGTGGGACCGCATAGTGTTGCGGGTCTGGGACGATTCCCAGTGGCTGCGAAACTATCGCATGCGTAAGGGCACTTTCATGGAACTTTGTGACTTGCTTTCCCCTGCCCTGAGGCGCATGAATATCAAGATGAGAGCAGCCCTCACAGTTGAGAAGCGAGTGGCGATAGCCCTGTGGAAGCTTGCAACGCCAGACAGCTACCGGTCAGTTGGGAATCAATTAGAAGTGGGCAAATCTACTGTGGGGGCTGCTGTGATGCAAGTAGCCCACGCAATCAAAGATCTGCTGATATCAAGGGTAGTGACCCTGGGAAATGTGCAGGTCATAGTGGATGGCTTTGCTGCAATGGGATTCCCTAACTGTGGTGGGGCCATAGACGGAACCCATATCCCTATCTTGGCACCGGAGCACCAAGCCGCCGAGTACATAAACCGCAAGGGGTACTTTTCAATAGTGCTGCAAGCTCTGGTGGATCACAAGGGACGTTTCACCAACATCAACGTGGGATGGCCGGGAAAGGTACATGACGCTCGCATCTTCAGGAACTCTGGTCTGTTTCAAAAGCTGCAGGAAGGGACTTTATTCCCAAACCAGAAAATAACTGTTGGGGATACTTCCCTGTAAGCTAACCACCCTCCCCTCCTCCCTTCGATCACCACTTGCAGAGGCAATAAAGTCATTGTTGCTTCACATTCATGCATTCTTTATTCATTCATCACACAAATAGGGGGATGACTACCAAGGTAGCCCAGGAGGGGTGGTGGAGGAGGGAAGGAAAATGCCACACAGCACTTTAAAAGTTTACAACTTCAAAATTTATTGAATGCCAGCCGCCTTTTTTTTTGGGCAGTCCTCTGTGGTGGAGTGGCTGGTTGGCCGGAAGCCCCCCCACCGCGTTCTTGGGCGTCTGGGTGTGGAGGCTATGGAACTTGGGGAGGAGGGTGGTTGGTTACACAGGGGCTGTAGTGGCAGTCTGTGCTCCAGCTGCCTTTGCTGCAGCTCTACCATACACTGGAGCATACTGGTTTGGTCCTCCAGCAGCCTCAGCATTGAATCCTGCCTCCTCTCATCACGCTGCCACCACATTTGAGCTTCAGCCCTCTCTTCAGCCCGCCACCTCTCCTCCCGGTCATTTTGTGCTTTCCTGCACTCTGACATTATTTGCCTCCACGCATTTGTCTGTGCTCTGTCAGTGTGGGAGGACAGCATGAGCTCTGAGAACATTTCATCTCGAGTGCGTTTTTTTTTCTTTCTAAGCTTCACTAGCCTCTGGGAAGGAGACGATCCTGTGATCATTGAAACACATGCAGCTGGTGGAGAAAAAAAAGGGACAGCAGTATTTAAAAAGACACATTTTATAAAACAGTGGCTACACTCTTTCAGGGTAAACCTTGCTGTTAACATTACATACATAGCACATGTGCTTTCGTTACAAGGTCGCATTTTGCCTCCCCCCACCGCATGGCTACCCCCTCAACCCTCCCTGTGGCTAACAGCGGGGAACATTTCTGTTTAGCCACAGGCAAACAGCCCAGCAGGAATGGGCTCTTCTGAGTGTCCCCTGAAGAAAAGCACTCTATTTCAACCAGGTGACCATGAATTATATCTCACTCTCCTGAGGATAACACAGAGAGATAAAGAACGGATGTTGTTTGAACGCCAGCAAACATACACTGCAATGCTTTGTTGTACAATGATTCCCGAGTACGTGTTACTGGCCTGAAGTGGTAAAGTGTCCTACCATGAAGGATGCAATAAGGCTGCCCTCCCCAGAAACCTTTTGCAAAGGCTTTGGGAGTACATCCAGAAGAGCTGCGAATGCCAGGGCAAAGTAATCCTTTCACATGCTTGCTTTTAAACCATGTATAGTGTATTAAAAGGTACACTCACTGGAGGTCCCTTCTCCGCCTGCTGGGTCCAGGAGGCAGCCTTGGGTGGGTTCGGGGGGTACTGGCTCCAGGTCCAGGGTGAGAAACAGTTCCTGGCTGTCGGGAAAACCGGTTTCTCCGCTTGCTTGCTGTGAGCTATCTACAACCTCATCATCATCTTCTTTGTCCCCAAAACCTGCTTCCGTATTGCCTCCATCTCCATTGAAGGAGTCAAACAACATGGCTGGGGTAGTGGTGGCTGAACCCCCTAAAATGGCATGCAGCTCATCACAGAAGCGGCATGTTTGGGGCTCTGACCCGGAGCGGCCGTTTGCCTCTCTGGTTTTCTGGTAGACTTGCCTCAGCTCCTTCAGTTTCACGCGGCACTGCTTCGGGTCCCTGTTATGGCCTCTGTCCTTCATGCCCTGGGAGATTTTGACAAAGGTTTTGGCATTTCGAAAACTGGAACTGAGTTCTGATAGCATGGATTCCTCTCCCCGTACAGCGATCAGATCCCGTACCTCCCGTTTGGTCCATGCTGGAGCTCTTTTGCGATTCTGGGACTCCATCATGGTCACATCTGCTGATGAGCTCTGCATGGTCACCTGCAGCTTGCCACGCTGGCCAAACAGGAAATGAGATTCAAAAGTTCGCGGTTCTTTTCCTGTCTACCTGGCCAGTGCATCTGAGTTGAGAGTGCTGTCCAGAGCGGTCACAATGGAGCACTCTGGGATAGCTCCCGGAGGCCAATACCGTCGAATTGTGTCCACAGTACCCCAAATTTGAGCCGGCAAGGTCGATTTAAGCGCTAATCCACTTGTCGGGGTGGAGTAAGGAAATCGATTGTAAGAGCCCTTTAAGTCGAAATAAAGGGCTTCATCGTGTGGATGGGTGCAGGTTTACATCGATTTAATGCTGCTAAATTCGACCTAAAGTCCTAGTGTAGACCAGGGCTAAGATACTTTTGAAGCTATTTGTAGAACTATTACTTTGTTTTGTAGTTTTAAGCCAATCTTTTTCAAATTACTCTGCCCTGATGGTCACTAAACAAGTTAAGTAGCTGAGGTTGCCGAACTAGAAAATTTATATTTCATGTTAAAAATAGATAGCTGGATTTTTCACTTTGTGAAGGAGGAGAGAAGAGAGCAATTCAGGGAAGATACCCATCTCAAACAACCAGGTGTCCTTTTGGGTGCCTGAGATATGGCAAGGGTCAGAGCAGACAGGGAGAGTTCATGAGTAGCCCAGACAAAGCCAGAAAATCTGCAAGGTTTAAACCTGTTGGTTTATTTGCTAGTTTCTTGTCAACCAGAATAATGCAAACTAGGAAAGTAATTGGCTACATTCTCTTTGTGCTCCTTAACAGTTGGTAAACTCCAAACAGTATAAAAATCAGATAGCTCTTGTGTCTCTAGAGCTTCCTGTCTTGGCAAATCTTTCTCTCCCTTATGAGAATAGCCCCTTCTGAGGTTCTGAGTCTGTGGCCTAGTCTACACTAGCAATGTAAGTCAATCTAAGTTACATAACTAAGTTGACATAATTTACGTTGACTTAACGCTATGTTGACAGGAGATGCTTTCCTGTTGACATAGCTTCTGTCTCTGATTAAAGTGGATTAATTAAGTGGACAGGAGACTGCTCTCCTGTTGACTTATTGCGTCTTCACTAGATCTGTTAAATTGATGACTGCTGCTGCGATGGTTGCAGCGGGCAGTTTAGTCCGTAGTGTAGACAAGGCATGTGTACTTGATTACACCAGACTGCTTCAGCTGAACGAGACCCGTGTGTGTCGTGTCTTTCCCCCCTGTGTTGCCGCTGTTATCTACTCCAGTTTCCTCTGACTTCAGCTCAAGCTCTCTCTCTTTGTACCGCAGTCCTCCCTTTTTATCTCTAGGAACTTTAGAATATTCTGTTTAATAGAAACTGTTAAAACTTTAAATTCTGCCCTGGAGTCTCGATGCATAATTTGGTTATTAGGTCATATTTCAGGGAATCTTTAGCATTGCCAGTAATAGTTTCATTCCTGTTTCCTAGACAAACATTGAAGGACAGCTGCCAAAAGCAACAAAATTTTTGGCTCTGGATAAATGTCTGCCACACAGAGACTTCTTGCAGGTAAGACCACTGTAAGTGGTCATCTACTACCATTTAGTACTTTATATATCTGGGCTAGGGGGAGTGCACAGTTCAGCAGGAGGCTGAAGAATGATTCTTCCATCCCCGGAGAATTAAATCTCTCAGTTGCTGCTCATGTATGGGATGAGGACTTAATGGGTAATGGAAAATTACGAGGATCCTTTCTTGGGCTGCACAGAGGTATAGGGGGTCATAAGAATCCCTCCATATGCCCCTATACAAACTGCCAGGACTTCGTAGCAGGATACAGGAATGAGGGGGCACTTTGTATTTGCTTATTACTACTATAGAGCATGAGGGTGGGGAATATGTGGAGCTTTTGCTCTGCCCCCTCAACGTGCTGACCAGTGGAGCGTGTGTAGTGGTAACTTGCTGCTGGTATAGATCAGAATTAAATTACTTCTCTCCCCCCCACCCCTCTTCTTGAAGCACGTGCGGGTTGTGGAGGGAATTGTGATGTGTTAAGTCACGATACCCCTTTCCTTGGAAGGTGCAACAATGCACCACACCTCACTATGGGCTGTGTCCTGGTGCCACTGTCTAGCCACATGTATTCTTCTGTCTTTGGAAGCTGTAACTAAGTAACTGAAGGCCCCTGTGAAATGCCTGAAACGTAAGCCTAAGGAAAATAAAAACAAAAAAAGATAAGATCCCGCCCCCCCCATTTGAGGAAAGAGAACTTACTGAGTCTGTCCTGGTGAGGAAGACCCCCTAGACTGGCTTTTTTTCTTCCTTATTTCATGATACTGTGATCAAGAGATTGTGGGATGAGAATCTGACCAGGGTGGGGTGGAAAAGTAGCTGGTGATCCAATGCACAACCCCTTAAGGACAATTATTTGGTATGAAACTCCAGAGAAATCCTAAAAGACAATCCAATCCAGACAGCTTGTTGAATTCAATATCTCACAGTACCCAAAAGAGGACTTTTTCCTAATATGTACAGTAGACTTTTTTAGAATTTATATTGCTCTAGGGCCTAAAGGCCCTACCTGGCATTGGGGCTTCATTGCGCTGGGCACTGTATACACGGAAAAGAAAATGGTTCCTGCCCCAAAATACAAGACAAACTAATACAGACAGTCAACAAAATTAAGCTCGCCAGAAGTACAGTACAATTTCTTCCCAGTTTCTCTTTCACATAAGAACCGCCTCTTCACTGCCAGTCAAACTTCCTCAGTCCCTGCTCAGCCAGAGTATTCTCCTCCATCTCATGCTGCCCCATTGGAAAACTTAGCCCCATTCTGGGAAAGACACACAAACTAAAAACCGACCCAACCTGCCAAATGTCTGAAAGTGGTGGATCTCAGCCACTTCCTGAACTTACAGTGGGGGCTGAATCCCATGCTTGTTTTTAGCGGCGGTGGAAAGTGGCTTACCTGACCCAGGCCTGCTGCACCCACGGCCCTGAATCTGCCACTGGTTCTTGGACTTGTCCCCTTCCTTCAGCGGGGTGAGATGCTTTAATCAAGAGGATACAGTTATTCCATCTTTGGCAGAAGCTTCAGCAGTTGCTATGCAAACGCTGTTACATCAACCTGTTTTACTGGGTAATAGCAGCAAGAACTGGGCTAATGATTGAGGTATGTCAGGGACAGGAGAATTAAGTTGGTACTGAAGGAAGTGTTTCCTGGTAGATGCATCACCAGACACTCTGCATTAGAAGTAATATATTAATTCTTTTCACCGGACTGACCACTTAAAGACTTGGCTTCGTACAAACAGGGCCAAGTGGGTTTTCAGCTGTCTGCAAGAGTGGCTTTTTGTAGTTTGGAGTTTTGGACTTGACTAAAACCAGAGACATAGTCTGGTTCAGAGATGGGAGGTAGAACACTGGGGTTCCTGGCTATTAGTCCACTAGATCATTCCGTCTCTCCAGCTAGTGAGCTTTACCTTTTGTGGCAGGAGGCCATACAGAGACTGCTCAGTACAGTAGCTGACTCAAATCAGGCCACGTACTAGGAGGAAACTTATGGTGGCCTTATTCCCATCAATGTCAATTAGGGTGGC